GGAGACCGCTGGAAGAGCGAAGGGACGCCCCTCGCGGGCAGGGGGCCTCCCTCGGTGGGGGAACGAGCGAGGGGGGGCGAAGGGGGTCCGCGAAGAGACCAGTGACTAGAGAGCGAGGCGTATCGCAGACCTCTCGCGGTGGGACTCCTCGCGAGGGAGCCGAAAAACGAGGACCGTGGGGCTTGGCTCGCAACGAGACGCGCACTACCAGGAGGGCGACTCGGGGGGGACTAGGGCCAGGGGCGGTGCTGGAAGTCTAGGGCAAAATCAATAGGCATGCCGAGGACAAAGCTCCCTGGCACCCCAGGGAGACTAGCTCGGACCTCGGGAGCCCCCCGGTGGCCATCGGGCAAGCTAGGAAATCCCCGGATCCGAGGCGAGATGTCGGGGAAGTGGGGGGGGAAGCGACCCTGGGTGTTCAGGTGTTCAAAGTTAGGGGCGGGGTCGTGGCTGGCGGGGGGGCTTCTTATGTTTGCTCTCTGACCCGATCCCCAAGGGAAGGGCCGCGGCCTCTGGCACAAGAGAGCACCGCAGGGCGGCCACGGGATGATATCGGTCTTGCCCCCAGGCCCCGAAAACCTCTTCCGCCGCCCCTGAGCTGAGGGAGGCTGCCATCTCGGCCGAAATGGAGGATAAGGAGGAGGAGGAGGAGGAGGAGGAGGAGGAGGAGGAGGCGGAGGCGGAGGCGGAGGCGGAGGCGCAGGCGCAGGAGGAGGAGGAGGAGGAGGAGGAGGAGGAGGAGGAGGAGGGGGGGGAGGAGGAGGGCCTTTTCTCCAGCGCCAAATTTTTTGGGAGAAGACGGAGGGGCATTGAGGGAGGGGACGACGGAGACAACTCTCGACCAAAACGAGAGCTGCTGCGGCCAGAATGTTGGAGGACTCGGAATGGGCACCAACACCAAGACAGGGGGTTTGCCTCCACAGGGGGGAAGATTAGGGGGCCACATGCAAACCCTACCCCTACCCCCCACGATTTCGTAGGGGGAGGGTGGGGTTCACTTCGCCCGGGAGCTCCCGAACGAAGTGAACCCCGCCCTCCCCCTCAGAAATCGTGGGGGCTAGGGGTAGGGTTCGCGGCCCCCCAAAGATGATCCTAGATGCCGGTGTTGGTGGTACTATTTCGGCCACCTCGAAGCCAGAATATGACCACCATCACCGAGACCGGGATCTTGTTCCCTCGGTGGAGGCACGCCGCCGATCTTGGTGCTGGTGTTGGAGTTGCTGCGGCCAGAATGGAGCTCTAGGCCCAGGGGCGCCACCACTGGAAACCTCGGGCCAGAGCACTGCGCGAGCGAGCTGGACCCTCCGCCCGTGCTTCGCCCTGGAGCCGCGGAGGTGCGCGGGAACTGCACACCCCCACCTGGGGGGGCTGGAGATCCCTGTGTGCACCGAAGGCTGCCCCTATCCGCCACGAAAGGGGCCGCCACGAGGACGGCACTGGTGCACATGGGGGCATCTGCTCCTGGTGCCGCTGCCGAGGCCTGAGCGACCCCAGCCCCAGGCCCGGGTGCATCCGGCGCCCCGGCTCTGACACGGGGCTGGACCTGACCGTTGCTTCTCGCTTCGTTCTCGCTTCGCTGTTCGTTCTGCTCCACCCGTTCTCCCGGACCTCCTCCCTCCCAGAACGAAGTCCAGAAAACAGCGCTTAGGTCCAGCCCTGGCCCTGACCTGCTCGTGCCCCTGGCCGCCCTTTGCCCCCTCCGGGTCGCCCTCTCCGTCGGCCGCGCCCGCGGCGCCGCCCGCGCCGCCGGCGCCACCTCCGCCCGCCCCAATCTCACGGGAGGGGGGCACTGTCAGACCCTGCAGCGCCGCCGCCCACGGCTCCTGCTACACTCGACCTGGACAGTAAGTAGGGAACCGAACCCTATGCACCGACGCTTTTGTCTGGCCTCACACTGAATGTCGCACAGGAGAGCGGATCCTGGTGTATACGGGATCCTGGTGTATGCATGTTTCGTTGTTTCCCCTAGGAAACGGGGAAAAAGTATACACCACACCACCCCGACGTCGTCCCCGACCCTCAAAAAGTCCAGGGATTGCAGAACAGCCCGCCACTGGTTACGTAGATGTTCCAGTTTTCGAGTAAGGATGCGCGGTAAAGATGCACTGGCCTTGGAACGCCCTGTTGACGTTTTCAGCAGAATGCCGAAGGATGCCCGATACCGAGGGGGCAAGGATGGAAGGGTAGCATTGGAAAGTTGCCCCATCCTTACTATCATGGTTGACTGCAACATAAAGCATGACGACGGGGGCAGGGGAAACAGGCCACATGTTCGGGTACTGATTCACGCTGTGCCAGCCGCTGAGTGGGGAAGAGGGCTGTTCAAAATATCATGTGTCGTGCAACCGAGAAGTGGGGCCCGAAACCGAACTTGCATATGATAGAGCGCGCGAAAATCAAATCCAGCAAGGGGGAGCATGAAATACTGCAGCATCATGCTCGAGAGGGCGGGGATGGCTCGATCAATGACGAAAGCCGCGCTAGCGGCGCGCATTTATTGTTGTTGCACGTCTTGCGCACCGCTCTACTCTCTGCTGCACACGAGGCCCTTGCACCGTCGCTGGACTGAGTCTCTCTTCTGCCAAGCCCATGTGGCGCCAAGCCAGAAACCTACGCCTAACGCCTACCAGAGTAGGGAAGGGAATCCGCCGACCCTGTCGGCGTGTGCGAGATGCTGTTCCGCTTGAGTCGTCGTCGCCGTCGCCGCTCCTCCCCCTTCTCTGGGCCCTCTTCCTCAAGCGATCCAAACAAACGGAAATAAGCAACGTCGGAATTGATTCGAAGGGAGGCCCCTCCCTGTTTATTCCTTCCCTGGCAGGGGAGGGGGGGGGGCAGCAGGGGGGGCTCCCACGAGGGGGCAGCCAGGGGTGGTGCGGCGGGGGGGGATCCCAGGGGTCGGGACCTCCCCCGCGGGGGGCCCCCCCTGTGGACAAAGGGGGACAGAGGGTGGTCCCCACGACCCTCCCCCCGCTGCCCCTGAGATCAGTACACTTCCACATATGCGTCGTATGCTCCATGTGTTCAGCCTCCGCGCGTTGTGCTGCCCATCGATGTTCACGGCTCGGAAGCTCCCAACAACTCAACGCAAGTTGACGAGCTCGAAACATGAGAACAGAGAGGAGGGGGCTGAGGAGTCGGCGGCGGCGCGGTCGCTTCTGCGTGTCCGTTTGAAGCGACGAGGTGGAGGTGAAGCGTAACCTCATCAAGCTATTTTTCCCCAACCAACCTGTGTTGTTGGGTCCTCGTTTTGAAGAGACGGTCCCCGCGTTCCTTCCTCCTTCCCCCTTCCTCCTTCCTCCTTCCTCTCCTCCCCTTCCTCCCCCCTCCTCCCCTCCCACAACCCATTCTGGCACACCCCTCACACGTTTCGTGGCCCCATAGGGAGCTCCACCGAAGGCCCCAGTGGCTGCGCCCGCATGCGGTTCCACCCCCCATTCTGGCACACCCCTCACACGTTTCGTGGCCCCATAGGGAGCTCCACCGAAGGCCCCAGTGGCTGCGCCCGCATGCGGTTCCACCCCCCATTCTGGCACACCCCTCACACGTTTCGTGGCCCCATAGGGAGCTCCACCGAAGGCCCCAGTGGCTGCGCCCGCATGCGGTTCCACCCCCCATTCTGGCACACCCCTCACACGTTTCGTGGCCCCATAGGGAGCTCCACCGAAGGCCCCAGTGGCTGCGCCCGCATGCGGTTCCACCCCCCATTCTGGCACACCCCTCACACGTTTCGTGGCCCCATAGGGAGCTCCACCGAAGGCCCCAGTGGCTGCGCCCGCATGCGGTTCCACCCCCCATTCTGGCACACCCCTCACACGTTTCGTGGCCCCATAGGGAGCTCCACCGAAGGCCCCACCGAAGGCCCCAGTGGCTGCGCCCGCATGCGGTTCCACCCCCCATTCTGGCACACCCCTCACACGTTTCGTGGCCCCATAGGGAGCTCCACCGAAGGCCCCAGTGGCTGCGCCCGCATGCGGTTCCACCCCCCATTCTGGCACACCCCTCACACGTTTCGTGGCCCCATAGGGAGCTCCACCGAAGGCCCCAGTGGCTGCGCCCGCATGCGGTTCCACCCCCCATTCTGGCACACCCCTCACACGTTTCGTGGCCCCATAGGGAGCTCCACCGAAGGCCCCAGTGGCTGCGCCCGCATGCGGTTCCACCCCCCATTCTGGCACACCCCTCACACGCTTCGTGGCCCCATAGGGAGCTCCACCGAAGGCCCCAGTGGCTGCGCCCGCATGCGGTTCCACCCCCCATTCTGGCACACCCCTCACACGTTTCGTGGCCCCATAGGGAGCTCCACCGAAGGCCCCAGTGGCTGCGCCCGCATGCGGTTCCACCCCCCATTCTGGCACACCCCTCACACGTTTCGTGGCCCCATAGGGAGCTCCACCGAAGGCCCCAGTGGCTGCGCCCGCATGCGGTTCCACCCCCCATTCTGGCACACCCCTCACACGTTTCGTGGGCCCATAGGGAGCTCCACCGAAGGCCCCAGTGGCTGCGCCCGCATGCGGTTCCACCCCCCCATTTCGGCACACCCCTCACTCGTTTCGTGGCCCGGGGGTGCCACCGAGGAATATATCCACAATTGCGGTATTCACAACTACGTATGGTTGGGTCTTTCGTCAGGCTAATTTAAACTGGCGATGGCATGCGCAATCATGGTACCGCCGTCCCGCGAGCACTGCGCAAACCAAATTGGCGTTCGAGCTCCACTCGTGCCAAAAACGTACTCCAAGTGTCTTAATGAGCGTGGTGCAGCCAGCGCGCGCCGAAGGTGCTTCGACCCCCGTAGCGGCGCGACGACGAAACGAGGTTGAGCCGAGGGAGGAGCCCGCGAATTGCGAAACGCCAGGTGCGCCGAGCAGGGGAGATCAGCAGCAATTCTGCTTGAGGAGTGCGGGTTCAGCAGCAAAGCACAGTTCAAGACACATACCGGGAAAGTAGGATTTCTGAAAAAGTGGCGCGGCAAGGAGGCCGAGTGGAAAAATTGAGACAAGTTATGGTGCAAAAACAATGACCCAATCGAAAAACGCCGCGTGGACAAAACACTCGGGCAGGTGAAGCACCAGCTTATGAATACGGGCCTTGCACAGCAGTCTATCCGCATATTTTGGGATAGAGGTACAATCAAGTATAAAGGCAAGCTGATTGCAGAAATCACCGAGGACGGCCAGCTGACCACATACGGGGAGGGAGACAACGTCAAAGAAGGCGTCCAAGCATTGATGGCGAAGTGGAAAGCGGCGCGAGATCTACAATGATGGCAGCTTCCAACAGTTTCACCATATAGTCAATTCTTCCACGGAGCCACAAAGTACTCCAAAGGAGCTGCTGGCGACCGGCATCATCGGCGACATGCGCAGGAAGATGCGGCTTTATCTCCGACCTTCGACTTCGCTCACGCCCAGGACGGCGCTCCCAAACCCACTCTTTCTTCTCGTTTCAACCCCGTCTCCGACCCGACGAACCCCGCCCCGACGCACCCGACTCTCCACCCAAGTCCAAACGTTTCACCCCTAACCCCCAAAAGGATTCACAAAATGGGGGAACATGATACACAGATTATTGTTGACACCCATGACGCGGCCAGGCAAGCCGTCAGGGTACCAGACAGGACTCTGCATCATCAGCACGGTTCTCGGCTACCTGATGTTCGGCCTGACGACCCGGAGCCAAGCGACATGCACTCCAAGGCTTCGCAAGACATGGTTTCACTCTTGCGGCCAGTTCTACATTCGCGTGCAAGGTATCCAACTCCTTGTGCTGACAAGGAGCCTCGACATCGACATGGTCATCATCATTCGTTCCGGGTGTCTCCGACCTCGTCTTCTGCGACTCCGCCTCCAGCATCCGACGCCCCCCGCCGCCCACTCCCATGCCGCGGGAGCCCTGGCCCCCCGCTCACTGGCACTCGTTGTCGCTGGGCGTGCCGGCCAACGAGCACGCGGCTGCCAAGACATCCTTCATGTTCACGCCATCTTCTTCGTAGTCGCAGCAGCCCGCGTCGTCGATGCACTTCGAATACGCGCCGCAGTCGCCCCCTTCGCACGCCTTCGCGGCGTCCTCGTCGCAACCGCAGCCCTGCAGGGAGCCGCTCAGGCCGAGAAGCACTGCGACCAAGGCTGCCTTGGCGAACTGCTGCGTCGCTGGAATCGGCGGGTCGGTTGCACAGTATGGCTCGAACCAAAAATAGCTTGAGCCAAAATGGCTACGGAGTAACCTCATCAAGCTATTGAGGAACCCCCCGGGATTATCATTAGCACCGCACCGTGATTAAATAATTATGGGGGGGGCGGTTTTCGCCGAACGATATAGTTAGCACCACGCAAATGAAAGAACATAAAATTAAAGAAAAACTTCGCCCTGGCTCGGGTAATATCCCAATTGGAATTGGAATAGAAATAGGAAAATCATAACATACGAGTAATACGAATAATACCAAGAATACGAATAGTAAGACAAAGAAGAACAATAATGATATGAGTGAGAGTGATGATACTAATGAGAGTAGTAATAAGAGTAAGAAGACTAATCATGATAAGAAACATAATCAAAATCCGAATAATAATACTGATAATACTAAGAATACTAATCGCAATGATAATAAGAATGCGAATAATGATATTCAGAATCATAGTCAGAATAAGAACAAGAGCTGGTTTGCTCATCATCTTCACCATATTTGTCCTATCCAATGTGTATTACCACCCCTGTTGAAAACTAGTGGTTTCCCGGCCGTCGCGTGGGTCGTGCATCCGAAGATATCGCCCCCGCCACGCACGGCGCGTCATCTTAGCACCGCACCCGCACAACATAACTACGACAGCTTGTCAAAAAAGACAAGAAGTACAATACGACCAATAATCAGAATAAGGATACAACTAAGAACACGACAACTAATCATAATAAAAATACTAATGATAATAAGAAGAATAAGAACAATAATGGCAATAACAATAATAAGACGCTAATCATAATAATACGAATAATAATAATAAGAGTGAGAATATGAAGAAACGTAATAGAACTACTAAACAAACGTAAAGTAAACCATAATAAGCGTTGCCATACTAATGATACGGATAACACTATAACTCAGAATAAGGCTACGACTAATAATGATAAGCCATAAGAATAATAACAACAGTTTAAAACATGTAACCAAGAGTAATAATGATAATAACACTAGGGGAAATAAGGGTAAACACACTACTGATAAGCGTAGTAGTAAAAGTAATGATAAAACATATCAATAATCATAACAACAACGATAATAATCATAACCATACTGACAAAACTGACAATGATAATAATAAGGGAACTAATCAGACTAATAATAATATTACCCTGGTGACGTACCCTACCCCTGCGCAAACGCGGGGCGCAAAAAGTTTTGGACACTTTATAGGGGGGGGGGCGATGACGGAGCGAGGGTTACATGTGTCTGCAGACGGAATTCGGGAGGCTCGCAGGACACTGGGTACAGGACCAGGACTAGATAAAGCTGATTAGTTACAATCCCTGAGCAACCCTAGCCACTTCGAAAGCGGGGATCTCATATCGCAGCCCCCCAGGGATGGCGATGTCAAATTTGGGTCCGCGCGTGGCGTCACTGTGCTGGGCCCCCCAGCAGGCCTCGAAAGTGGCGACAGTTTCACAGATCGCAGCCCCCCAGGGATGGCGAGGTCTAATTTGGGTCAGCGCGTGGCGTCACTGTGCTGGCCCCCCCAGCAGGCCTCGAAAGTGGCGACAGTTTCACAGATCGCAGCCCCCCAGGGATGGCGAGGTCTAATTTGGGTCCGCGCGTGGCGTCACTGTGATGGGCCCCCCAGCAGGCCTCGAAAGTGGCGACGGTTTCACAGATCGCAGCCCCCCAGGGATGGCGATGTCTAATTTGAATCCGCCGTGGTCGTCACTGTGCTGGGCCCCCCAGCAGGCCTCGAAAGTGGCGACAGTTTCACAGATCGCAGCCCCCCAGGGATGGCGAGGTCTAATTGGGTCCGCGCGTGGCGTCACAGTGCTGGGCCCCCCAGCAGGCCTCGAAAGTGGCGACAGTTTCACAGATCGCAGCCCCCCAGGGATGGCGAGGTCTAATTTGAATCCGCCCGTGGCGTCACTGTGCTGGGCCCCCCAGCAGGCCTCGAAAGTGGCGACAGTTTCACAGATCGCAGCCCCCCAGGGATGGCGAGGTCTAATTTGAATCCGCCCGTGGCGTCACTGTGCTGGGCCCCCCAGCAGGCCTCGAAAGTGGCGACAGTTTCACAGATCGCAGCCCCCCAGGATGGCGAGGTCTAATTTGGGTCCGCGCGTGGCGTCACTGTGCTGGGCCCCCCAGCAGGCCTCGAAAGTGGCGACAGTTTCACAGATATCAGCCCCCCGAGGGATGGCGAGGTCTAATTTGAATCCGCGTGCGTCACTGTGCTGGGCCCCCCAGCAGGCCTCGAAAGTGGCGACAGTTTCACAGATCGCAGCCCCCCAGGGATGGCGAGGTCTAATTTGAATCCGCCCGTGGCGTCACTGTGCTGGGCCCCCCAGCAGGCCTCGAAAGTGGCGACAGTTTCACAGATCGCAGCCCCCCAGGGATGGCGAGGTCTAATTTGAATCTGCGTGTGGCGTCACTGTGCTGGGCCCCCCAGAGGCCTCGAAAGTGGCGACAGTTTCACAGATCGCAGCCCCCCAGGGATGGCGAGGTCTAATTTGATCCGCGCGTGGTCACTGTGCTGGGCCCCCAGCAGGCCTCGAAAGTGGCGACAGTTTCACAGATCGCAGCCCCCCAGGGATGGCGAGGTCTAATTTGAATCCGCCCGTGGCGTCACTGTGCTGGGCCCCCCAGCAGGCCTCGAAAGTGGCGACAGTTTCACAGATCACAGTTCCCCGCGGGCAAGACAGGAGGAGGCAAAAGGGAGGCGGGACGGGAAGGAGGAAGTGGAGACCCCACTGCTCTATTCAACACGAATACCCAACCAAGGAGGGTTGGGAAATAATTACCCTGGCGACGTACCCAACCCCTGCGCAAAAGCGGGGCGCAAATAGTTTAGGACATTTTATAAGGGGTGCGATGACGGAGCGAGGGTTACATATGTCTGCAGACGGAATTCGGGAGACTCGCAGGACACTGGCTACAGGAAAAGGGCTTGATAAAGCTGATGAGTTACAGTTCCTGAGCACTCCTAGCCACTTCGAAAACGGGGATCACAGCAGGCCTCGAAAATGGCGACAGTTTCACAGATCGCAGCCCCGCAAGGATGGCGAGGTCTAATGTGAATCCGCCCGTGGCGTCACTGTGCTGGGCCCCCCAGCAGGCCTCGAAAATGGCGACAGTTTCACAGATCGCAGCCCCCCAGGGATGGCGAGGTCTAATTTGAATCCGCCCGTGGCGTCACTGTGCTGGGCCCAAGCAGGCCTCGAAAGTGGCGACAGTTTCACAGATCGCAGCCCCCCAGGGATGGCGAGGTCTAATCTGAATCCGCCCGTGGCGTCACTGTGCTGGGCCCCCCAGCAGGCCTCGAAAGTAGCGACAGTTTCACAGATCGCAGCCCCCCAGGGATGGCGAGGTCTAATTTGAATCCGCCCGTGGCGTCACTGTGCTGGGCCCCCCAGCAGGCCTCGAAAAAGGCGACAATTTCACAGATCGCACCCCCGCGGGGATGGCGAGGTCTCATTTGAATCTGCCCGTGGCCCTCACTGTGCTGGGCCCCCCAACAGGCATCGAAAATGGCGACAGTTTCACAGATCGCAGCCTCCAGGGGATGGCGAGGTCTCATTTGAATCTGCCCGTGGCGTCACTGCGCTGGGCCCCCCAGCAGGCCTCGAAAGTGGCGACAGTTTCACAGATCGCAGCCCCCAAGGGATGGCGAGGTCTCGTTTGAATATGCCCGTGGCGTCACTGTGCTGGGCCCCCCAGCAGGCCTCGAAAATGGCGACAGTTTCACAGATCGCAGCCCCCCCAGGGATGGCGAGGTCTAATTTGAATCGCGCGCGTGGCCCTCACTGACTACCTACCAGACCACCCCAACCCAACCCGAAGACCCGAATTTCGGGTTGGGGGGTAAGGGTTCCACGCGTGTTTTTTCGACGTTTCCCGACCCCCCCCACTAGAAATCGAGGGTAAATCTGAGCCTCGGGTTGGGTTGGGGTGGTTTGCTGGGTGGTGACTCACTGTGCTGGGTCCCCCAGCAGGCCTCGAAAGTGGCGACAGTTTCACAGATCGCAGCCCCCCAGGGATGGCGAGGTCTACTTTGAATCCGCCCGTGGCGTCACTGTGCTGGGCCCCCCAGCAGGCCTCGAAAGTGGCGACAGTTTCACAGATCGCAGCCCCCCAGGGATGGCGAGGTCTAATTTGAATCTGCCCGTGGCGTCACTGTGCTGGGCCCCCCAGCAGGCCTCGAAAGTGGCGACAGTTTCACAGATCGCAGCCCCCCAGGGATGGCGAGGTCTAATTTGAATCCGCGGTGTGTACCCACTGTGCTGGGCCCCCCAGCAGGCCTCGAAAGTGGCGACAGTTTCACAGATCGCAGCCCCCCAGGGATGGCGAGGTCTAATTTGAATCCGCGCGTCGCCCTCACTGTGCTGGGCCCCCCAGCAGGCCTCGAAAATGGCGCAGTTTCACAGATCGCAGCCCCCCCAGGGATGGCGAGGTCACACTGTGCTGGGCCCCCCAGCAGGCCTCGAAAATGGCGACAGATCGCAGCCCCCCAGGGATGGCGAGGTCGAATTTGAATCTGCGCGTCGCCCTCACTGTGCTGGGCCCCCCAGCAGGCCTCGAAAATGGCGACAGTTTCACAGATCGCAGCCCCCCAGGGATGGCGAGGTCTAATTTGAATCTGCGCGTCGCCCTCACTGTGCTGGGCCCCCCAGCAGGCCTCGAAAATGGCGAC